CTATGTGTACGGAGTGGCAATTATAGCTACGTTAAGAAAATAAACACGTGTTTTGTGTGGGAGTGCTGAGATTTGTGAGTGATCAACATCCCCGGGTGATCAACATCCCGGTCAGCTAGCTTACATACGGAAGAAAATGCATCCAGAGAGCGACAAGATGTAAGCGCTAACGCGCAACGGTCGAATTTCTTCGTAAATACGGCCATCTTCCCAGGTACCTTCATGATGATCGTAATCACATACATTACCATACTTCCGCAAGAATTGCATTCTCGAGCCCTCACTACTGGCCTCCTGTTCTCCTGGCTTTATTCTATCGCTTCAGCAATGGACTTACACTAGTGTTGAGCTACAAAGCCACAAAAGTATAGGATAGACCAAGACCTCTTCACATACCCGTGCGCCTTTCACTGTTACTCGCCTTCTCATCCTTTCCGCGAGCCCCTTTATGCAGGGAAAAAACCTAGCGCCAGATTTACTGTAAAAAAAACTGCGGTTAGAGAATCGAAGTTCGGCGACCATGTTGAAAGTCCTGCTTTGTACCCGGTATCACATTAGTGGTCGCTCTCTGTAACGTCTTCTCTTATATCCTCATCTTCTGCATTGATTGTCTCGCGCTTGTGTGCCAAGCATAAATCCTGGAACAGAACTTCCGCATGTGCTGTCTCAATTTCCCTTAACAATTGCCCAGACTCTGGTCGTTCTCCTGGAGACATCGCTAACCCTGCCATCATACAGTCACTCAAGGCATCAGAGTGCTTTGGGCTTGGTCTACATTGACGGAATGCGAGCGCTTGTTTGTCGTATCCAAGATCTTCGTCGGCCAAGATTGGGATTGGAGCACCGGGTTCGATATTGATTGGTATAGGTCTCCGCGGCGCTTTACTTGACCAGTAGTTCTTCTTGAGATTATCCGGCCAGGAATCCAAGTACGGTGCTTTGTCATTCTGCAGAAACCATTTCTTCTCGATGACTTTGGGGTCAACGAGCGGTCCAAAGTTATGAGCAAGTTCATGGATAATGGTTGCAGCACTCCATACATCACTTGCTGGACCCAGACGCTTATTCTCCCAAGTGACTTCCGGCGGCCAGTAGTGAGTTGTGCCAATATGCCCTCGAGGATTAGGATTTTTTGGATCATAGTAACCAGCCATTCCAAAGTCGCCTAGAACATCGATGTACAGAGTCAGTGTATGCCTTCACGCGCAATGCGTATATGGAGACTATTACCTAGCTTGACCTCAATGTCTGACCAGTCATCCTTGAAGCCTAAGTTCTTTACGAGTACGTTCTCGAACTTGACGTCTCGATGCACGATTGGCCTCCACTCATCACGACCTCTCCGATGCTGATCATCGATTCCTTCATGAAGAAACGCGATGGCGTTCATCAACTGGCTGTACACCGACCACATGAAGGCTTTTGAAAATACCATACGACCTTTGTCGGCAGCTAGTGCTCTTACTGTAAAAAGATCGCCTTCTGAGCAGTATTCAAGTAATATCGATGTCTTTTCCGCATATGGTTGTCTCTTGCAATATCCGAGATAACCTACGATGGATTTATGCGATGGTAAGTGTTGGAGAATGCGGACTTCGTTGGGGTAAGGATGATTGTGTCGGACGACCTTTACCGCAATTATAGTTTTCGATGCTGTGTGAGTCCACTGCTCAACATACCCTTCCGAGCCTTCCTGAAGTCGTCGATTGAACTGGTGGTCTTCTGGAAAGCCGATGGCGGGATCGTTTCTGGGAGGCGATGTTACACGCAGCTTTCTTAATGGGTTGAACCGAGATGATATTGCGGCCATCGCGGTGATCGCTGAACGCGGGCGACACACTTCAGTCGAACGCTCATTTAAATTTTGCGACTCGTGGTGTGAAAAGAACCCCATTTCTTGTCTTTCTCCTGCGATAGTGAGAGAGTTGAGGTACAGGAGGCGCGCGGGCAACACGCATTGTTTTCTCAAGTGAGTAAGTAGACTAGAGCTTACCAAACCTAGGTATATCTTCAAATCTACAGAAGATAGTGAATGAAGGCTAGAATGGAACAAAACACTTGCCTTACCACCTTTTGTGAGATAATCACATTCACCATCATTGCTACCACAAAATGCGGAACAGTATGTTCATTCGCCCAATGGCTAGGTCGGCTCTCATGGTATCGATATCAATGAATGTAATTGGACTCGACATTGTTAGGTTGTTCGGCTCAGACTGCAGGTTTCGGTTCGTTAGAAGATCGTAGTCATATACAGAGCGTCGCAACTCCATGCTCCGTTACACCTCTGTCTTGACAATGCATCTTGGGTCTCTTAGGTCGTTTCGCGTGATAGTCGCGAAGTCAGACTGGTAGTGAGGCGAATCAGATTCCGTCCGTATGCACTCTCGCTCATGCTCGGTAAAAGATTGAAGTGCGTTGGCAGAGAGTCTGTCTATTGTAGCTGGCGGTAACCTTGAAAGTGTGCGGGATGAATTCAAGGTAGACCTGAGCATACTATAAAGATAGAAACGACCAACGCCCAACTGGGTGATCAGGTCTTGCGCAGGTCCAACCGGCAATAGACCTCAAATGTTGTTGTGCTAGTCCAGGGATGTATGAAGACATCTTTCGTGCTACTCGAATATTATGGAGGGGTAAAGTGTGTTAATCAAGGCTTACAGCTTATTGTTCCAAGCTTCCTCGCGGGCGCACCCTAAGCCTAAGGCAGGAATTAGGACGCAGACTAAGGAAGTAGCGGGATGAGAGACACGGCTCGTTGAGCCAACCACGCGTCTCCCAGCCATCTCGATTATGTCATCAGCGCCCAAACATCCGCACTCGCATTCGTTCTCGAACCGCATGTCCCTCATTGCGCCCAGCCAGCCAACCCGCATTTTCCATCCACTCACAGACACGTCAAGTTCATCTCGCGTAAATGCCTAGACTCGGCTCGAAGAAGAGTCGCTCAGGATGCACACAGTGTAAAGCAAGACGCGTGAAGGTAGCTTACCCTCAACCTTCGCCACGTCATCCCATACTGACACAGATATAGTGTGATGAGAGTAGACCATGTGGCGCGTGTACTAGATATCGAGTCGAGTGCAGTCTTCTAGGAGGTGCAAGCCAAAGTCCACCCCGTTCGGATACTACTTCTCCACGTAACACTCAAGCGCATGCACCCGATGATCCGCTCACTACCAACGCGTCACCACCTACAAATGGGAGTGCTGCAAGTCCACTAGGCTCCGGCACAATCCAGGAAGAATGTGTATCCTCGGTGCCCGGAAGTATTTCAACGACAGAATGGATGCAAGATCTGGAGTTAACGCATCATTACACTGCGCATGCGTACCAAACTATGCCTGGCACTGAGCACGTCAAACAGATCTGGGGCTTCGCTGTCCCACAAGAAGCATTCAAGTATCCTTTTCTCTTACACAGCATACTGGCCTTTTCTGCGAATCATCTTGCGTACATCAACCCTTCTAAGGCGGCACACTTTCGCATTGCTGCTTCTGCACATCAAAGTGCAGCATTGACAAGCCTTAACCACGCTGTTGCAAACATCGGCCATCTAAACTGCCATGCCATTTTTGCCGCAGCTTCAATGACTGTCATCAATGCATTTGCCGACGCACGAGCGTACAACTTGGATGTTCTAGTTGAAACCTTCCAATTAGTACGCGGAATGGATTATGTACTAAACAATGTCACCGACATGTTGAAGAAGGGCCCCTTCGCAGCCATTGTCCTACCTGTCGAAGAGACACCCAAGCCGCCGTCCCTGTTGTCTGCCTTTCTTGTGGAAATTCAAGCGCTGAGTCGTCCCACTACCGCAGAATCATCACCAGACGATCTAGCTGCTGCTAGAGCGGCTGAGGTACTCCGGAATGGCCTTCAATACGCGATGAATTCCTCCACTCATCCAGCCTTGCGGGCAGCAATGATATGGCCGATCAGCGTCACACCAGAGTTTATCGAAGCGCTCAAGTCAAGAACACACCCAGGGGTCAGGGCCATTTTGAAGCACTATTGCAAGCTTCTGGAGTATGCAAGTCTTGACTTCTGGTTCTTCACGGGATGGAGAGGAATTTCGCAGCACTTATGATGTCTCATACAAAACCGCCTTTCTGATGCATTCTAAAATTCGACAGTAATCCCGTTCAACGGCTAGGCACCGTTTTTGCCTTATTCGGGTATCGGTCTACGAATAACCCAGACTTCATGCATGAGCAGACGACTTCCAACTCAAGGATATTGAACCTTCCGGTAGTTAAATGTTAGACACCAACGCCCCTGCTACTATGAAGCAGAGGATCGGTAGACGAACGCTGGTTTGAGGCCTTAATCGGGCTCTGATCAGACAAACGCCACTCGAAAGACTAAGAACCTCATCACGAACAATTCGTCAACGGTGAATATTGAGTCAAACACGATACAAAGGGGCTGTAAACATCTGCGTCTGAGTAGTGGCTATCCGGTGACTAAGATAGGCCGAACAACTGGCTGAAGCATCACACGAATCAACGCCATTGGATCAACCATGTGTATCAGGGACGACTTCATATTCGTTTCTAAGGCCTTCTCATGGCTAACCTCCCAACGGACATGATTGCAATCACATACGACCTGTCGCATGATTCTATCCTGATACTGTTGATCATAGTGCCGTTCCCCATGCTGTTGACCTCAACTCAAACTCAGAGATCTCTGAAACCATCTCAGCCGCCTTCTGTCCATGGCACTGTCCGACAATCCATAGAGAAGTATCAATTCCCGAGCTGACTCCTCCAGCTGTTATGATGCGCACACCAGCATCTGTAGTTCCAGCATCAGACCATCGTTGCCTAACGACGGTGACTTTTGAATCCCCGCCCGCCGCCTCGTCGGCGAGCTTCTTCTGCAAGTCGAGAGACAAGTGGTGTGTCGTTACGATGCGACCAGCAAGTACTCCGGAAGCTGCGAGGATGAGACCTCCAGTGCACACCGACTGTAGAAACCTCTTTCCCGTTTCTTTTCTTGGCTTCAGAGTCACAAATTTCCGGATCAGTTCACCTAGCTCTTTCCCATCTTTACTACTGATGAATCTTTTGATGGTTTCATCATGAGCACCTGGAATGACGAGAATGTCATAGTCTTCAATACGATTGGAGACGTCCGCAAAAGTAATGTTGGGGACGTAAACCATAGCGCTGGAGGCAGACGTGACGGGGCTCGTGTGGGCGAAAGAAGTGACTGAGAAGGGAGCCGGCTTGCTTCTATCCATATCATGATGGTGGCAATAAATCTCAGCCGGTCCTGAGAAATCTAGGAGGTCGGCATCCTTGTAAATGTAAATTGCGACTTTGAACTGCGACATGGTTGTTCTTGGTAGATGGTATACGTGTAATTAGGTGCGGAAAGCTGAAGTGATTTGGTTGTGCAGCTGTATATTGATGGCAAGCGCAGTTATAATTGATCGCGTATTGTACAGTTGGAACGGAGCGGATGTGAGTTGTTGTCCGGCTTCCGCGATCACGTAACGCGGCAACCGGCAAGCCGCTAGACTTATAACACTAGAATACATTCGTTGACTACACTAGTCTGTGCTTTTTGTGCAAAAACCCATCCAGGATTATTTCCATAGGGTCAGATGACGGTTGTCAGCCCTTGGTGCGCATGCTGATGACGGATGCAGCCGATATATCGGTCGCATGAGTACGGTAATGCGTATGACAGCATGACATGATGAATCCGCTATGAGCAATCATCTCGAAGAGAACATACCTTATAAGATGATCAATGAATGGAAGACTTTGTCACCAACGAGAACGAACGCGCCTGTAATGTCTCAAGAATACTGTGGCGTATGTCCCAAGCCCAGTACCGAAACATGCGCAAACTGCTTGAACATGCCTTATTGTTCTCGGGTCTGTCGCAAAAAAGATGCGGAAAATCATGCACCGCTTTGTAGCACTTTGTTGGGCAATCACACGAGCTTTCGACCATCTCCATCTCACTACCGCTGTATCTTCTTTCTGGCGGACGTAACAGAGCCGCGCTTTGTCTGGCTGAAGTATGACGGACCGCCAGGCCAGCTGGAAACTGATCGCGAGTATCTGAGGAGTTATGTAACTGGTGTGCCTTCTGGTGGCGACGCCGCCTTTGACTGTTTTCGTGAAGGCAACCGACAACTGCGCAACAGGATCGTTGTGCACCATGACAGCAATTCTCTTGGTAATAAGCAGCCATATAACGAATGTGTGATGGAACTGCTAGGTAGAGTCGCCGGTGAGCACTGGAGAGGGCCACTGTTGGCTCAATCCTACAAATATCGCATCGATGATGACCTAGAAGCTTGGGTTACTGAGGATCGGCCCAGGGGGAGCAAACCGTTGATCCCAATAGATTTGGATACTACGTCTTTGGCACCTGTCCTCTCTTTCTTGAATTGGAGATCAATATCGGCGGACGACTATGGTTTGAATACTGATGCAGGTACAATGACGCCCAGTAAAGCTTTTCCAAGGACACCTCCAAAAAAAGCTTCACCAAAGAGTAAAAACCGGAACCCCGCCCAAGCGACACAGATCAAGGATGAATATGATGGCGAAACTGAAGTCTGCTGGAACATGACATTTTCAGAAGGATGGGCGAAGATGTGATTCAAACATCGGTCAGGTAGAATACCATGCTTGTTCGGATTTTTGAGCATGGATTGCAGATACGGGCAGTGACAAGGCCCACGACCAAGACTCGACATTGACTTACTGTCCGGTACTGTCTCATGAAAGCACATAGAGTTCATATAATCAAGAGGGTATCCCAGCGTTTTGTCTAGTGGGTGTC